ATAAGCATATTGGCTGAACGTATAGAGTATGCAATATATTATTTAAATTGCATAGACTATACAACCGACCAAAAACAGCATTTAGAAAGCGCTGTAAAAAACAGTTTATCTTTTGGGGGACAACTAATATACCGGTGAACTCACGTCTATTCATCCATTGAAATAATCACTAGTTTTGACATTTTGCAAAAACAATCCTCAATATATAATGGAATATAAATTTAATTAAATCTATTAGTTTTAAAATTTAAATGCATTATTATTATTATTATTAGTATATTTAAAAGAAATATTGTTATTATCCTTGTCACCAAGGTCGCTATAATAATTGAATAATTGTTAATTTCATAATTATTTGTAAATTGGCACCAATATTAATGTGAAAGCCTTCACACATAACTGGATGAGTAATTGTAGTCTACATACTAAATATAGCTAACTATTTATATTTATAGATATTTATTATGAATATCGGCTTTTAATAGCAAGGCTTTATGATATAGTATCATACAATATATTGACAATTTAAATAGGCAACAATTCTAAATTAACTTTTAATATTTTTTACATCGTTAATAAGTTTTAAATTAAATTAACAATAAATTAATTTAGTTGTTTGAATAAAATAAACTGCAAGAAGCTATACTAATCCAGGTATCATGTATCCTAGTAATATCTGTGTAGACTTTACTTGAACAAAATATGTATTTCAAACATTTTTATTTAAAAGGTTTACATAGTATTTTTGAAACTCTTTCGACTAATATAAAATTTCAAAGTTTAAATATTAAAATATAATCTGGAATATAAAATTTATCATTGTATTATTTTATAAATTATTTAATATATAGTTTTGTATTTAATACATAAGAGTTATTTTCTAATTACAAAACTATAACTGTAAATTAATACTGTAGCTGTAACTGCCAGTACTAAGTTAATACAGTAAAATATTTATAAATATTAAAAATTGTTTATGGTTTTTTTAATTAAGATTGATAGAAATATTGTAATAACCCTACACGGTTTCTAATAAACTCTACTTGGTAATAAAATAAATATGCATTTCTAAAACTCGGATTGAAATTTGAGCCACTTGTAAATTGAATTTAGTTACATTTTAAAAAATTAATTTTACTAATATTTATTGTTTAATTTGAATACAAGATTCATAATATTTAAGACTTAATTCAAAATATCGAGACAAAATATTATTTATTTCAAGGAAACTAAAACAGTTTTCAAAACAGTTTTGTATAAAACCAATGTTGAGCACAACTATAAAACTACAAATCTTAACATGCTATTTTGTATTATATTATTCTTAATACACAAATTATCCTATTATATAACGGATACCTCTTTTTAAATTTTCATTGACTGTAAGTTTTATATAGAGTTATATGGCTATAATATATCATAGATGAATTACAGTGCAGGTGAGGTTTTTCAATGCATTACAATACATACGTATTGTCACATTTGAATGTATATTGTTTGAGTTATTTGATTGCAAGTGAATCCATTGGATTTATTTATTATACAATCACTTCCATAGATATTGAGTGAATGTAATTCTTTAAGGCATTTACAAGTTAACTTGATCCTTTTGAGGAATATTGTTTTAATATAAATAGAATTTTAAATGCATTGCTGTATGTTTTTGTTTCGTAAAAATTGTGCCATTTAACATTATTTTTATTTAATTTTACATTTTAAAGTTGATAAAAGTAACAGTATGGATAAAAACTTTATTTAAAGAATCAATCATGTTATTAATTGATAAAATTTGTAATGTTGTTATTAATATTCTTTCTAATTATAGTAAACTTTATTCTAATGTATTTAAATTAGGATTAAACCATTAACTTGCTTAATGTTTTACATGCATATAATCATGTTATTAATTGATAAAATTTGTAATGTTGTTATTAATATTCTTTCTAATTATAGTAAACTTTATTCTAATGTATTTAAATTAGGATTAAACCATTAACTTGCTTAATGTTTAACATGCATAAGTTATCCTAAGCAATAAAGTCAATGAACATTGTGTTTCAAAGATTATTTGTAAGATTTCTTAAACATATGCATAGCTGCATGGACTGGGGTGGGGACTGGTACCTAGTCTAGAGTAAAAACTATACGTTCTAGATAGATTTTGAGTACACCATTCAAAAGAGAATCAAAAAGTAGGAATACTTATCCCTTATGAATTTGCTATAAAATTATTAATTTTAGCACTGGAAGGTCTGGTATGTCAATAAAATTGACTTTTAATAAATTATATAAGCTAGACTGATTGAAATAAAAAAAATGTTATGATGTTGAAAATTACATAATTTAATTCTTTATCTATTAAAAAATTTTTCTGGAAGGTCTGGTATGTCAATAAAATGGACTTTTAATAAATTATATAAGCTAGACTGATTGAAATAAAAAAAATGTTATGATGTTGAAAATTACATAATTTAATTCTTTATCTATTAAAAAATTTTTAAAATTCGGTAATTCACAGCACTGGAAGGAAAGGTAGGTTTATTGTGATTTTATTATACGGTAGATAAAAGTTAATTCTAATTAGTGGGTTGGATGAAGTTTTAAAAATGAACAAGATTTATTTTTAGAATGTTTCAATTATCAGAATACCGGTAAATAATGATGATGATAGCCTATTAATATCACTGATAGGCCACCTTAAAATTTTCTCATTAGCATTGAATATCATTGAAAAATAGTATGTCATTCAAACATCAGTTAAAACGACAATCTTTTCTATTATCTCATAACATCTTAGCCCTGATGATAGTCACAGTGTTGACCAAAAACGTTCGGCTATTATCTTATTTTTTAACGCCTTTTCACTGATAATCAATAAACTATTGAAACACTAAACTCTTAAATGGTATGTCTTTTCTTATAAAGAAAATATTTTCTTATGGTGGCCTAGCACATTTTTTATTCAAATAATTGTAAAATTCAAAATGTGAACATTTATTCTTACAAGTTAGTTATTTTTAAAAATCTATAGATTTAAATTAAGTTAATATAAAGTAAAGCAATTATAATATTTTTATGATTCTTTCAATAAAGATATTTTATGCGGTAACAACTTAAAGTTATTTAACAATTGTTTATATTTAATAATTTCACTGATTAATAAAATAAGTTATTGAAACAAAAACTTTAATTTTTTATATTACTTTTCTGTTTATCTAAAAGTTATCCAGCAATTTGATATTTAACTTTTTCTGTTTTTTGTTTGTTTTATTGGTTGACTAGAATATGTTCTCATCCCTATTATATATTTAGTTTTATATCATGAAAATAAAAATATGCATATAGAAATATTTTACTATTCATCAATAGTTTGAATTTGTCAGGTGCATGAAATTATCAAATTAGCTTGTTATTAAATAATCAATCATGACTTGAGAACATACAGGTATTAGCTTATTTCTAGTTAACTCATAATACGGTAGTACCAGTAATTTCATTTATGAGTAAGTGATCGCGTTTTAAACAAGGTTCAAATCTAATTGTAAATTATCCTTGTGACTTATGTTATGTTTGACAATATTTTGAATTCACGTATTTAACTATACAAAGTATAAGTATAAAGAAAAATTAATAAATTGAGTATAGTATTGTGTTGACATATCGTTTTACACCAAGGTACAGTATTCCAGATAATTTATTTCTTAAAACTCATTTGTTAAAGCTTCAATTAGTTGTGGTTTATTATAACACTTTGATGACTAACATATTTAAAGTACTGCAAATATTTTAGTTAATTAGTAAAAATAAACAATGATAATAACTACAGGATTGTAACAGGATAAAAAATAAAATATGGAAATTATCAAGGAAAAATTAGTCTTCCTTAAGACATGAGTAAAATCTGATGAATATTAATACTGCAGTCATATGAATATTATTTTTAGACAAAAATATACCGTACAATGAAATATTAAGCAATGTACTGTATATGAAAATCATTGATATGACTATATTTGATTTTAGTAATAATTTGCTAATGATACTTTTATATGGTTTACGTCAAATAAAGTACAGACTATAATTGTAAATTATTAGCTTTCATTCATAAATATGATTACCATTTCAATGTACAGTATAACTATAGCTAATACTGTAATTATTTGAATTGTATTTTGTGCCACAAATGTAGTCATAAATGAGAATAAACTGTGGATTTCAAGATTATAAAAATCAGTAACAATTCAAACAGTATTATACTAGATTTAATTTAATATTATATGCAAACTGAAAATTTTAACAAATTATCATCTTTATACTTATAAGAATCAGAATTGCAAACTGATTCTGCTACAATTACATCGTATGAAAGTTTGAACATGATCAAAAGTGAATTTATTAAGTGACGCTTGTAAAAGTGTGGGTTGCCAATCAAATGGTCATCATGTCCGTTTGCAACCAATTTACAAGGTCATCTTATATGTGTTACAGTGTTTATAAAGTTATAAGTTACCATACACCACCATACACGACCATGGTTAAATATTTCACCACAAGTAGTGACAAATGCCATGAATGTTACAAGTTTTAACTTAAAACCAAAGAAATGTAGACGTGATTCATGTGAACACACAGACGTCAGGTATAGTGAACGACGGTTGGGCGGGCGTGTGAGTAATACGCCCGCCCGCGCCCAATACATAGTGCTACTTCTCACATATATTACATCGTGTAATAAGGGCTGAAAAGGGGGACAATTATTATTATATCCAGACGTATTTGTTGCACATAGGGCGCATTGGGCACGACTTTACCAGACATTTTAAATCTAGTAAAATACAAAATATTTTGTGGTTATTTTTAGAACTAATTAGATGATAGTAATATAGATAAATGTTTTTAAAAGACTAACTTTTAATTTAAATTATAATAATTAATTAATTAGTTTTAATGTTAAAAACGGGGCGGAGGGGCGCGTCTCAAATACTTGGGGCATATGCCGTATGCCCTGGTCGGGCGCCCACTACGTCTTGGCGGGCAGTGACGCGTGTCGTTCTCTACAGTCAGGCTATGACTCAATGAGTGAATGAGTTGTCAAACAAATAAACAAACAGTGAATCCATTGCACAACACATCCAACACTTCCAACACTTCCAACACTTCCAACACTTCCAACACATCCACGACGTGTACAACAAATGGTAAGCATTTGATAAACGGATGCATTGATTGTGACATTAATACTCGTGATTGGGAGGAAAGGCGCGGTATTTCAGTGGCGAAGACATCGATGAGTTCAGGGACTGCTTCTATCTGATCACTCACTCCAACGGATCCATCACTTCCATGGATGAGCTGAAGACAATCATGAGGTCGTTGGCAATGAGTCCAACGCAAGAAGAACTCAAGCAATACTTCCAACAGAAAGGTGTCAATGAATGCAATGAATGGCTCAATGAGTGAATGAGTGACCAATTGATGACTTGTTGTCTTCGCAGGAGGGAAACTGTCTTTCGCTGACTTTCTGGATGTAATGCATTCCCATTCAGTCAAAGAGAAGGTCTCGCAGGAAGTGATGGACGCCTTTCGGGCCTCCGATTGGAATCGAAGCGGAACTATAAGTGTGGCTCAACTCAGACATTATCTCATGGATTGTGGCGAAGCTGTGGACGAGAGGCTGATGGACCGGCTCTTGAGAGAGACCAATAACTCCACTTCCATCCACTCTCACGTCAAGTATGAAGACTTGGTGCGAATCATCTGCTCTCCAATTCCTGATTATTAGTGTCACTCAACACCAGACACTCACCACTTCCTCCACAACCACTCAAACAAGTCTTTGAATGAAATTATTTATATTTATATATCCTATGAATCACATGAGCCTTAACTGTGTATTCATTACGAATCAATTAAATGGTTGTGAATGCATTGCAATTTGCAAACCTAATACCGTCATAAGATTTATGTAACTTATCTTGCTCATTTCGTACAAATCATAGCAACATTCAACTCAATTCTAATGTTTGCAAATGTTATTCATATTGAATGGCAAATGTATTACAATTACGGCAACAATGATATATTCATTAAATGATAACTATCATCGCATTTGTTCCCATCAACTGGATCTCTGATATTACTTTTAATAAGCTTTCACTGATAAGTTCACTCAAGAGGGGGAGGGAGGGAAGTGTGGGCACAAGAGGGCAGTAGTGGTTGTGGTGCGTTCACAAAGGACGTACACACGTGGGCTCTTGTGGTGATGTTTGATGTTGCCCAAAATGGTCATAGAGTGAGATCTGTTGCACAACCCATACGACCAACTATTGAGACACACTTGTGATCACTTGATCACCAGTTGACTACATATCGCCACTGAGGTCAGTATTATCTCATTCATAGCCACTTCCCATCAGCTCATCAGCAATGGACGAGTGGCTGATGGCTTCTGGAGCAGTGGTGGCCGTCAGTTCTGTGGGACTTCTGAGCATTTTGTTGATCCCAATCATCCAACGCGACCATCACAGCGATGTCATCCAACTGCTCGTGGGTCTGGCCATCGGCACTCTCACAGGCGATGCACTCCTACACCTTCTTCCACATGTCTGTCCATTGATGACCGTTCATCCCAATGTTTGCTAACACTTGCACTCCTTTCAAGGCATTCTCATCCCATTTGCATCTGAAAGACTCACATAAGGAGGACAATGAGACCAGTGGTCACTCGTCTGCCGACGACCACCCGAGTGGTCATCACTCAGATCTGGTGTGGTTTGGGTTAATGGCTCTTTTGGCTATCATTGCTTTTTTGGCCTTTGAAAGAGTGGTCACTATTATCACAGATCTCTGCAACAAATCTCATAAGAAATCGAAAGTATTGTAGAAATTGTTGTTTTGTTTAACAGTTATTTGAATGAAATGTTTGGCCAACAGATGGACGGCTATAACCGTTCGGTCGGCGATAAGATCTCCAATCATAACATGACTTCTGAAGTGACTTCTCCTTCAGAACTCGAGAAATTGAATCTCAATAACGAGTCGAAAGTGAATCCCGAAGACAACAAACTGACGAAAGAGTCCATTGAAGGCGATTGTCTGAGCGCTAACCCCAGCACTGCTCAGCACGACATCCAAATGACAGAGCAGTGCCACAGAGAGACACGGGTTTACCCGCATCCCGACCCCGACAGAGGGTTTGTCATCGAGTTGACAGACCATCACCACCACCATCAGAGACAAACGCCTCGCAGCCAATCAGTTATCTATACGGTTATTACGGGCGACGGTCTCCACAACTTCTGTGACGGCATCGCCATTGGAGTGGCCTTTGCTGGCAGTGGTGTGGGTGGGGGTGAGCCATGAATACTAACTCATTGGCTAACAATCCAAGTGTTCAATGAATGTCTCGTTTTGTAGGTTTGAGTACAACTATAGCCGTGTTATGCCATGAATTACCCCATGAAGTCGGAGACTTTGCTGTCCTTTTGAGAGCGGGTCTGTCTGTGAAGAGAGCCATTATTTACAACATTTTGTCGGCCTTTCTATGTTTCGTTGGTATGTCTGTGGGAGTACTGGTCGGCCGTATCAACGACGCGTGGCTCAGCGCAGCCATCGCTGGCATGTTTCTGTACATCGCTTTAGTCGATATGATCCCTCAACTGGACTGCTGTCCCACTCAGTCCGGAACGACACGAGCTTTTAAACTAACCGTTCAACTCATCGGAATCAGTATAGGAGTGGCCATAATGTGTGTCATTTCCATATACGAGGAAAGCATTAAATTTGAGTTTTAATAACTGTTTTGCTGTGATATATATGACTATTACTGTATACAGTATATAAAATGTATTAATTTTATAACAATTACTACAATCAAGACTTAAATCCTACAAATTTCTCTACAAATCAATTGTATTACGAAAAGTTCCAATCATTTAGAGACTCCTCGCAAGCGTTAGATTTGGCGATATTGTCGTCCGATGAAGAACTGTCGCCATTGAAGCTATTCTTTAACGGTTGGACACAATCTAATGGTTTGATGTTAGGAATCAATGAAATCAAGTTATTATGTGAAGACTTCTTGATCTGCTTGACGAAGCTGTGATCCAAGAGCTCAGAAGCCGTCGGCCTATCATTGATTAATTAGACAATAGATTAGTTTTGAATAACAATTAACGTTAACTTTTGAATACCTGAGCAACGGATCAAAGTTGAGACAGAGATCTATTGTAAACTTATGAAACGATTGACTAAATGTTCGGTTTCTGTAAATCTCGTACTTATGTCTAATTTCTTGACTCATTTCTGACAAATAATTGAAATATAATTAATTAATTTTAATAAATCTCTAATAAAGTGTACTAACAATAGAAAGTCTAGAGTATTATCAACTTTTCTGACCTTCAGTCGAGAGGTCGCAGATCTCCTGACACGTGGAGTCCAGGGGTCGCGGGAAATGTGCGGTCAGTTTATCCAAAAGCATTTCCGTCAGTTCCACGTCTTCGAAAGGGACACAACCGTTGGATAACTCGCATAAAGTTATGCCTAAACTATAGATATCTGACTTCGCGTTGTATCCCAAGAGGTTCTGTTCGAGCACTTCGGGTGCCAACCAATTGAGGTTCGGTTCGGGATGTGATGGGTAGTGATGTATAGCTGTCTGCCATTTGCCATCAATCATACAACTGGTCGAGTGCTTGAGACCAGACAAGAGACACCGACCTTCCGGTGCGGTGACCAGTATATGAGATCCACGAACCGACCGGTGAATGATTCCTCGTTTGTGTAAATAGACTAAAGCGGACAACACATCCCTGACGATGAAGGCCAGGGCTAACTCCGACAGACCCGATGGTCGCGACAGATCACTGGCTGATCCGAATCGAGCCAATGGAGTGATTGTCCACAACTGACATCCGCTCACAAAAGAGCAGAGGATTGGCAGCAGATTCTTATGCTTGAGAAGACACGTCAACTTGATTTCGTTGACCACAAACTCGAGGCTCTCGACGGCCTCTAAGTTGGTTCGTCTTAAGGCGAACTCATCACCAGTTGGTTTGTGTTTCACAACAAACATGTCTTGAGATGACTGGCACTTCATTTGACGCACACATTGGTAGAGATGTTGCGATGACTCCAGTGTTGGGATGGTGTCCAGTGAGAGTGTCTTGGAGTTGGACTTATGTATCAATGCATTCATGGTATCCGATGTCAGAAAGCATTCAATCAATGAATACACAAATGAGTGTTAAATGAGTTGTTATTTTCAAATCCAAGACAACAATGAATGCACTGATTCTGCGCTTTGTTTCGCATCAAAGTTTCAGCACTTCTTAACCCAATATAACCTCAAAACCAGTTTTACTATACTTTCAGCGAATTTCAGTCTTAAGTGAAGTTCACCTGCGAGTCCACACAAGTCTACATTGAATCTGCAATACCTGTCCATAGATTTAGTGAACCCAACACTTCTCTGGTACTGACTTTGACTCTCGAAACAACTTTTTCATAGTTTTATTGCTTTCATGGCTTTGATAGCAGTTCTCTCACCAAAGATATGAACATTTTTTAGTCTAATATTTGCCTCTCATTGCTATTAATGTTGTTTTTAGTGCTTTTAGACGAATATTTGTTTGGATATTAATACTCATTACTATTATGTTTGTTCACAAACTTTATTTCCAAGTCATTTGTTTCACTCTTCTTACTCTAAATCTTACCAATTGTTCGTCTAATCTGTTCACTCATAATAACACTGAAGCCAACCATTTGACGTCAATATCATTGCAATCAGTGATCGGTTCAACACAAACCTCAACCCTTCCCTCAGACCCTCTCATCAACACTTCCACCGACACTCACAGTAAGACAATTGACCACATTTTGTCTCTTATTGTAGTTTTGCTTATTACGAAAGAGTAAGTCAAATGTAAATGCAATCAAACCACTCGTTGCCCTCTCTTCCGGTTAAGTGATTTGAAGAATTTCGGATACATTTGCCATGACTTGAGTCAATAGTTATCCCTATTATAAAACATGACAAACACTTCCCTGAGCTTTCAATCGAAACAAATACTCCTCTCACGAAATCTGATGAATTTGAGCTTATCTTTTCACTTAATCTAATACCTAAGCGTAAAAAGTATGCTATTTGTTAATTACAGTGACATTGAAAGCATTTAATGAATTTGCTATTCTTCACTAAAAAGCTTTAAAAACAATTTCTACACAAATACACAAAATATAGAAATGAAGACTTCATTTGATGGAATTTATGAAAAAATGCTGATAATCACGAATTTGAGGCATAACCACATGCCATCCCCCATACCCTCTACCCTTATTTACCCTTTAGAGCAGAATCTGACCTCAACTTGATTTCTCACCAGTCTATATAATACAGCGTTATATGCAGTGCATTGAGTACCAGTTCATTGCCTTCAAGTGAATCGTTTTGAAGCACAAGTTTTGTTTGCATAAAAAACAAAACTTCTTCAAACATTTCGTTTCTTCTATTTCTGAAACGATTTTCAAAAGTGATATTTGAAAATATTTTTGTCAAATATTTTCAAATCACGTTTCGGCCGGCTTTCTAAAAAATCAAAATTAAATTAAATGATATATTCAATAATTGAATTTCATATATCATACAATAAAGTTACTTATTTTCAAATAGCTTTCTATAGTTATAAAACTTAAGTTTGTATAACTAATGATTTATTGGTTTGTTTTGAATTTTAAGAATGTAATCAATAGAATTCCTACATTTTTAATCTTTATTTAGTATAACAAGTGTTTCCCAAACCAATGATTAAAATCTTCGTTATAAAACTTTAAACAATTTATTCAGATTTGAAAACAATTATAAAAATTAACACAAAATTGTTATCGCTTTTGATGTGATAAGAGAGACGATTCTTTAGGAATTGAATTTTACTTGAAAATGATGTTTGGGTTGGATAGCTAAGTAGGCGACCCGGATATATGACATATTGAATAAGTAAATCACTCTTTGAGTTTGGATTCACTCATTATTTAAAAAGAGTCTTATATTTGAACAAATGAATAGAAGAATGCATTTTAGGTCATATTCTGTATTGAGGTTTAGTAGAGTTTCATATCTAATAACTTACTATTTCTGTGATAATTAGCAAAAGACAAAAACATATCATTTCTATTATATTCTGTTCTTTAGATACAAACGATATAATCAATGAAGAGATAGATGTGACCACTTATTCTACAATTAGTGGCAATAATAACAGCAAAAATTATTTTTATAACCAAAGCACTACTTCTAAACAAGAATATGACGAAAATACATCTCAACCCGAACTCAATTCAGTTTCTTCTCCATTGTCGTCGTCTTCTTCTACGGAATCCATTCCTACTTCAGACCCAAACCTATTTATACCAACTATTGTTTCAAACATAACTTCTACTCAATTTAATAACCAAACGATAGAAAGTGGAGAAAAACGGCGAACAAATGCCAACCCATCGATGGATGATATAATTAGTGGTATTTTGCAGCTAATCGGTGGTAATGTTAAGCTCTCGCGTCCTCCCAATAAATTGCAGCCATTGGGTCCCTATAGACCTGATCTGTCTCTCTCGGCCACACGTATTAACAATCGCGGGCCACCAAAAGGACCAGGACCATATATGAACCCATTGAATCATCCAATACCTAATGCAGTTCCTCCCAGTGTATTAATAGGTCCGGGCAGACCGGCAGGTATTGCTCTACCATTCCCTCCGTCTCATTTGGCACGACTTCCCATACCTTTAAACATAATGCCTACGAAACCTCCGTTCGCTATCCCCGAAAGTGATGTGAGTTTTCTTTTAGGTTTAATTAAACCACACATTAAGGATGAAAAGGAAATGATTGCTCTGAAGAATCTGCCCAAACTTCAAACCTCACAAATGAGTGATAAAATCAAAGACAAAACACTCATTAATTCTGTTATCAATTCTCGGCCCATATTTACAGACAAATATTTGACCAATCCTTCCAAAATCCAAGAGTTTTTTCAATCCAATTCTTATTATTCAAATATTTTGTCTTCACTTTCATCTCATTTACTCGAAGCAAGTATTTCAAAGACAACTACTTTGCCTGAATTCGACTCAACACTCACTGAGTCTCAAAATACAACTCAATTTGAAGAAGCAATTGTATCATCGTTTGTGATTCCCAGTCAACCACACACTCCACCACCATCTGGTCCGGTCACTGATTGGGTGCCGGTATTAGTGCCTTCAAGTGCTACGAGCCATGACGTGACTTCAGACGAGCCAATCATCATAACAATGCCTGAAGAGCCCAGTGTTTTCGAAGTGATTGTCAAGCAACAAATTGGTCCCAAGACTTCCACTTCTTCTGTGCCAACAATAGATCCGACACCAGTTCTCCAGATACCAAATATTGCCACTGTTATCACCACTCAAAGTATCAATTCAACCACAGTTTCAACAAATGCACAAATAACCAAAACAGCCGTCAATTCATTAATAAATTTGTCAACAAATTTGGCCCAAAATGTTAGCGGCGACGACGCCGATGTAGTCTATGGACGACCGCCTCCTCACAACGTTCACAAACCCATTGCCCCCTCTTTTACCAGCAGTTCAGAGGAAATCATTACACTCTTAGGTTCGGCTGAAATGTCTTCGACTTCGACCAGAAATAGTATGACTGCTATCGGAAAACCAATTGTAGTTCCGGTGGAAATGGATGAAGTGAAGCCTCATGCGGGTCCCATTCGACCCAACCCTAACCACCACAATCGACATTCACCAGGTTCTCCTATCAATGCCAAAGCACCGACACTACAGGTAGGATCGGGAGTTATTGTTAGTGGGGATGATAATAGTAATGATAAGAAAGGAATTCTTCAGCCAAACGGACAGACATCCCAGACTAAGCCATTGATTGTAAGGCGGCCACCATTTAGACCCCGTCCTAATGTACCGATTGTAAGAATAGACACCTGTATTGTGGGCGACGACTCGACCTGTGAGACCGCACTTAATGAGAAATGTTTAACAGAATTGGGTCTGAGTTCGTGTCAGTGCAGACCCGGCTTTTCTAGAGGTCAGGCGCGCAGTCCATGCATTCCTGTTGTATCGCTGGCCCTATCCTTAAAAGTGGACAAAATTGGAGATAAGAAGCTATTATTTAGTCGTAATTTACTTAACTCTGACTCTGAAGACTACCAATACCTTGAATACGAAAGTCTTCAGGCGATTAACTCTATATTCTCGACATCGAAGTTAAATAAAGTCTATTTGGGATCCAAAGTGAATAAGTTTTACTCAGTGGCCGGAAAGACAATCGTAAACGCGAGCATAAATCTAGAGCTGAATAACGCCACTTCCAACCCATCCATCAAACGGTATGTCCAGCAGGACTTGACTCGAGTGATAGCCGTCCGCAACAATAATATCGGCGAAAGTCAGCTCTGGGTTGAGGGCAGTCTTAACGCCATTCCCAGAGTGGAGGATCTGAATGAATGCTCAAACACTGATTTGAATGATTGTTCAAAACATGCCAAATGTGTCAATGAATTCGGAACCTTCCGGTGTGAGTGTGAATCGGGATATGAAGACAAGTTTGCAAACGACAAACAAAAGTCGGGCCGGTTTTGCGCTAATTGTTCGCCACAATACTGTTCCAATAGAGGAGAGTGTCTTATTGTGAACGGCCACAGAGAGTGCAAATGTAAAGCAAACTTCATTGGATCCAAATGTGATATTGACGCCGAAGTATTAGGGGTTGCTTTGGGAGGATCTGTTGCAGCGCTTATCATAATTATAATCACATTCTTATGTCTATATATGTGGAAGTAAGTCATGCGTCTAATCATTATTTCTTGTAATTTTCTTTTAATGACATATCGTTTGTAATTATTTTCACCATTTAGTCAAAGATGGAAAAGAGAACAGCAAAAGATGGAAGCTATGAGTGCTGCGAGCGGTCATACATTCAGGTGAGTGACCCAAGTATTTCTCAAATGCCATGCCATGTATTAACCAGAATTGTGTGGACAGTTATGTCAATAAACAGGCGGCCACTGCTTATAGACTGACAATTGATGATCGGATGAGATGGGCTCAGATCGCAGAAGCCATGGCATCCAATCCCACGTATTCTACAAATTATTATGTCGTAAGTGTTGAACATTTAAAAACATTTAAATTCTAAGCACTAACTTGTATATGTATTTGAATGATATGTAGAACCCTGAGCAAATGTCCTCTAGTCATAGTCAGCATCACATGAACCACGTCTACGCCACACCTAATCGGGTCTCTTCTTCGGGAACTCTTCTTAACGACGATCTCTGCGCCTATGAGTCGCGTCAATACAATCGTTCTCTTCGACCAAAATCTCGGGCCACGTCTACAACTCATGGATACTCTGCGGTCAGTCTTGAGTTGAAAATTATTTATATATTTATATTAATAAATGTTAATTTATTCAAACAGAAAAATACGGCAAATGATAGCATTTATAATGAAACAGAATTCTCAACGCGTGAAATGATATATTCCCCTGCACATCTCATGCCAGCCCCCGCCCCCCGATCACAGTTCTCCTATTCATAGTTTATTTTATTTATTTTTATAATTTATAATTTATTTATTTAATAAAGAATTCATTTATTTTCATTTCATAATCAAATCAATAAAAATAATATATTTTTTGACAATTTTGTAAGAGTTTATTGTACTAAGCTTGTATTTAAATACCCATACCAAACTATCTGTTATAAATTATTGGTTACTCAAAGTAATATTTATTTTGTCGTCCCAATTACCTGGTAAGGATCATTTTAAATATCTATAAAACACTAAAAATACTCTAATAAAAATGAATAAATTGTTCATTCTTAGCATTTATAATAAATTTATTGACAAAATTATGGAAATCACACAAACAGTAGTTGTATTGAGTAAAGAATTTCAAACATTTCCTACTATTTTATGAATTGAATGCTTTCCTCTAATTCTTAATTGTATTTTAATTCATGAGAACAGAGAACAGGTTTGACAAAATAGTGAACTTAGCCATGCAACTTTGTAACACTGTCTGTCGGTTCAAATCTTACTAAAAAAAGCTGGGAGAGAGAGAGAGAGAGAGAGAGAGAGAGAGATTCTCAGATAATTAATAAAATGAAAATAAAGTTTATAAAAATATATGGAAAATTTTTAAAAAGCAAATATAAATTATGTTAATAAAATAAATATAAAACTCTATAATTATAGATATCTTAATTATATGTACGTATAATTACAGTTAATTAACAGTTTATTTGTAAATCCGTAAAAGTTAGACATCTGATAAGATGTTTGATTGTATGTAGACATCCGTTTAAATATACTGTTTATATACTGTATAATAAAGAATACGTCATAAGAAATATGGGAAAATTGTAAGTAATTATATGGACTTAAAGCCAAATATATAAAGACATAATCGGAAGTAAATTATTGTTTGTTTGCCTCAATTTACTGGCAATGCATTCATCGGTATCGATGCCATTGAAAGCTTCTATTGATTGGGGCCTTAATTGCTGTACACTTTGTTTGCCGACAAGTATTGCGAGCCTTTCTCTCAAGATTTAGTTGACTTTTAAAATCAAACAGAAATCAAGTTTTGTTCCATAGAGTGAAGATTATATGTTCAGAATGGGCGAAAGTTGCACAACAAGTATTGAGCACTTTGAAAGTCACTGATCTTTTCCTACAACCTGTCAGAGCTCTTAGAAGAGAGTGAAATACAGTATATGCTTAAGAAATAGCGACAAATAATACCCAACTATGCCATCAGTAAAAGGTAAGCAAAATTTTCTTTTGACTGTATATTCCCATTGTTTTTATTCTTTGTATTCAGTGACACTAAATTTATATATTATTTTATGATATTATATATAATTTCATGATATATTATTTTTGTATTAATTCTTATTTTACTGCATTTACTCATTGATAAACTGATAAAAATTTATTAATACCGGTAAGGTATTCATGACATAAAATCATAAAATTCAGTATATTATAGTCAGTTTACACAATAAACATGTGATTTTTAAGACAAATAATATACAGTATTGCTGTTTTAATTTTTAGCATATTTTCCATCATCTTACACAGTATTATTGTTTCTTATTTTATGAAAGGCTTAAGCCATGCAGTAAATAATAATCAGACAAATGTCATAACCATTCAAATGTGCGAATAAGACGATGAATACAAGATCGACAACCATTTCCATTGTATTATTGGTTTGTTTCTTATTTTATGAAAGGCTTAAGCCATGCAGTAAATAATAATCAGACAAATGTCATAACCATTCAAATGTGCGAATAAGACGATGAATACAAGATCGACAACCATTTCCATTGTATTATTGGTTCCTTTTATACTATTTCTCGCATTCATTAAAGGTTTGTTCTCTTAATTGTATTCTCATCTAAATATAAGTTATACTCACTTTTCCCTTTACAATAACATTAAGTAATGATTGTGTTTCATAAATATCTACTTTGAAGAAGTGTTAAGAAAAAGTGATTATTTTAATTCTATAATTAACTATTACTTTAATTTTTCACCAGTGTTGTTCTAAATTATTTAATTCTTTATTCAATTTAACAATTTTTAAAATAATGTCAATTATGAGTTATTGGTTTTTAATGTGATATAAGAATTAATAGGAATAAGAATTGACTGTATATTTTGCAAAATTTCGAGACTATGCTATTTTGCATAACAGATATTAATTATTTTCAAAGATTGTTATATTGATGTCAGGGCTGAGGAAATATGAATTTTAACTATTATTATTGTTTATACTAAACTTATTGTGTTTTAAGATTATTTTAATGAACACCAAAATCACATGAATTCAATATATTTATAGAACTAATTTAATAAGATATTTTGTCAGCTTTAATCAAATAAAATATTACGTTACAAAAATATTTCGATTTCCAGTATAACAAATACCGTACTATTGAAAATACATTGTACTGTATGATAGTTTTATTTGAATTTTTCTAGTTTTATAAATTGTATTTTTGTAAATTGAAAATCTCTAGATAATTTTTGTAATTTATAATGTAAGCTTATATTTTATTAGTCTATGATATCACTAAACAGTTATCTCTTTAACACTTTATTGTTTCATATTATCGATGAAAGGTTTGCGTCATTTATTCAGTGATTTATTGCAAATTTCAATGAATTCACAATTCATAGAAAATTATAATTTCAAGTATAAGTTGTTTGAGAAGTTTACAACTTATTTGAAAGCTTCCCAACTGATGTGTTATATTATGTGAAAGCAATAATTAATTGAATTGTTGTCTAAGCCTTGAAATATTATTCAATAACTAGCACTTACAATGAAAATGATTTTCTATTCAATAGATTTTAATAAAAATTCAATAGAAATACAAGAAAATGAAAGAAAAAATAGTGATAGTGCTGATCAGACACTACCCATAAATGCATTCAATGATATAGAAAGTGATGACAGGACTGGTCTTCAATGTGATTGCAATTGTGATAGAAGTGACACAACTGTCCAAACAATCGCAGAGCACTTCCCAGACATATCACAAACAAACACTATTTCCGACCATTTGATGAAATATGAAAACAAATCAACAAATCCTACAATTTTTGTGATAACAGGATGAATAAGCTCTGGTTGTGTTTACCGTCTGTACTGATCTGAAAGAGTCTGTAATAGAAATCAATTCCTAAACAAAACCTAACACTCGCTTCTGAGTGCCTGGTCTAGAGTCATTCACAACAGAGTGGAAAAAGTGATGAGATTTCTACCCAGGTATAAATTATACCCATTGATGAATGCTTTCAATTGCAGTCAAGTGACAGAACTGTTGAACCGGACGGGCATACCGTCAGTGCATTTGTTAGGCCCGCGTCCGGCCACTCATTTGGACCGAAGGAGTGGTCGGGG